CTAAAAATTTATATATGTGATTTATATCTAAATTATTCAAACGAGATATAATTAACGAGAAATAATTACTAAAATAGTTTACATGGCCCGATTATCTATATTAATTTATATGGAGTATAAATTGTATATAATAGTTTAGTTAAAAATTGAATATATTGAATCCTATCTTTTTATATAAATAGTTGCTTCTTTACCTTGCTGGGGCATTTCTATATATTGGACTCCTTCGGAACGCCGGTCGCAAAAGTGCTTGCACGGACTGTCATTTAAATGCGGTGGAAATGGCAGGATGTCAGAGCTCGGATAAAAGTCGGAACCTTGCTGAAGAATGGCCGGGAATGGTGGCGGAGGTATGTGAAGGATATCAGGGGGTGGTTCGAGTGTACAGTAAGCGCAAGTTGAATTCATAATTGTGTCCAATGCTCTCATCTGTAAATTCGTAAAGTAACAAAGCTGAATCAAAAATATTCCGATTTTTTTATGATATAAAAAAATAATAGAGTAAATTGACAAAAACTTGTTGAATATATGTCGCACACATCTCTCTATTAAAACTAATATTTTGTATAAATAATTCTAAAAGCAAATATAAAAAGAAACATACAAAAAATTGAACTATTACAGAAATAAATAAATCACTAAAATAAAAGAATGATTTTTTATAATAAGATATAAATTGTTAATGATTGCTGTCAATTATTATATATAATACCAGTTAAAAACTTTAGACAACTTTAGGCTTAATTAAATAACATCAGATTTCAAAATACAATTCTATTTATGGTTTTATATGCATATATTCATGCAATTTTATATATTTTATATACGTATATATTTTAATTCTTCAAATTTTCTCTTTACACAGCATATAAAATTATAAATAAAATTCTGACTCAAGCTATAGATCGCCTAGAATAATCTTTTACTGTCCTATGTTTATATAGTCCAATAGTCTATTTTAATTCATATATTTATATTAGACTAATCATTAAATGGTATTTATATATCTAAATTATTGATAAAGAGTTCATTAATATCACTAATATAAACAGAACAATTTCTGTGACATTTAAAAAATTGTCATACAAGCTATGTATTTTACCAAAACAAATTTTTCTGCTTTTAAATAAACAAAATAATTGTTAATCATGCAACAAGTTTCTGTAAAAAAATATACTAAAAATAAGAATAATTTTTTCAAATAATAAATAATAATATACATATTTGTATCTAAATTTACATAGATATAAATAAAAAATAAGAAGAAAATAATAAATGGAAGTGTATAAAAAAAGTATTATTATATAAAGAATAAATAAAAATGCATAATAAATTAAACCAAACAAATATATATAAAACCTTCAAACGTAATGTTAAATCTCCAGTCACTCTTTCATTCCGTTTCCTTCCACGTCTTCTCGATTGTGTTTCCGTCTCTACACCTTCGAGCCAAGCACCGATCACACGCAAAATAAGCCGTGGATGTTCAAGTAAATTCATCCATTTTCCACACGTCACGGATCACTTCATACGAGCAGAATCAAGAAGAATATGACTGTGATAAGAAAATTCACTCTTACCATTGAGCACTGGCCCTGTGCGAGTCTGATATCCGAGGGTATATTTGACTCGTGCAGGGCGCACGCGCGTTTTTATTGAACGTAAATGACAAACGGAGCTAGTTACAGGAGTGAGCGCCCAAATCCTAAATTCCGATGTAAGAGCTATTCTATTGTACGCGAAAAGTGTATCATTTGATGTTTCTTCAATGCTACTTTTGAACTGATTCCATTGCGTATTTATTACAATTACATTAATGTTAAAACGTTTCTATTCTTTTTAGATAAAACAGGGTTAATACAAATTTCGCAAATTAATTAAATTAATTACAGGAATGATTATCGAATATTAATTTATTCTGCATAGAATAAAATATTTTGATGATAATAAAGATTCATATCTCGTTCACCGATAAAATATTCAAGACAGTCGATCTTATAGAAGTTCACATGACGCTAGAATTTAGACAGCTTATAATATATAATATTAATTTTGTAATTTATTAGCTTTTCAATGATTTTGTTAACATGTATACGTATTTACAAATCAGTAATATTTGAATTTTATTTAAAACTGCATTTTTATTGTTATCATTCTGTTTGATTATTCACATACATAACAGTTATAAAAATGTATAAAAATTTTACGAACATTGTTGCGTTATCAATAAGCATGTTTACTTATAAAGCTTCTGTATAATAATAAATAATGAATTTAATACTGCATTATATCAATTTCCCGGAGGGAACAGGAATATCGACAATTGAAATGTCGATATTCTTCAATTATTTCGGGAACTCGAGAATTCCATTGATCATTGGCCACAAAAATTATTTAGAGTATGAAACTAATAAATTGACTCGGTTAAATTATTGTCTTTGAATTTCAATGAAAAATTGTTTACATTAGTCCTAATTATTTTATCAAGTAAATAACTAATATAAAGTATTAGTTTTCAGACTATCTTATGAAAAAATACTGTAAGATTTATGAAAACTTATGGAAAAATACTGTAAGATTTATAAAAAATTTATTGGAAATTGTCAGAAAATTATTCAAATCAAATATTATATATATTCAATATTCCAACAATTTTTTCATTAATTCAGTAGTTCTTTTTTATAAGAGATGGGTAAAAAAGCATCAGTAAAAGCACAGTTCAATACTTGATTTAATATATTAAACAGTTTTTATCTAATATTAAATAAATTGATATCACTTACAGATTATGTGCGACATCTTGGAAAATAATTGCTAATGGTGATATTTTTTCACTGTTATTGCAAATATCAAAACAATAAAAAGAAAAACTGTGTGAAACTACATTTAAACTTATAAACTGAAGATTAAATTTCGTGTAAATTTTTAAAAATTTATGAGAGACGCCCACACGGCGCAGATTCCTTTTACAAAATATTTTATATAATAGAAAACTATTATTCGCAAAAATGAATCAGTTCAAAATTTCAGCACCAGGCAGATTATGCTTATTAGGTGAACACGCTAGCACAGATTTACGTACCACACTGACGTTCATCGAAACACCGTATGAGAATCTCTTCAACTATATTGAAATAGACTTTGCTCAAATCAATTTCTCCCTTAAAATACCATTAAAATATTTTGTATTTTTCAACAATTGTGTCGAGAAAATGGGGCTATTGCATAAAAGTGTTAGAATATATCCACAACAATCATAAATCAGACAAACCGAGAGCATTTGTATAAGCATTCTATTATTTTCTCGTTTATATCATCTACCAAGAGCAGATTAAAATAAAACCTTTCAATATGCATTTATCCACGAAATTATAATGATACTATGATAAATGATGATTTCGTCTGTTCTCATTCGCAATATGTCTCGCGGCATGCTTGTTACGTTGCATTGATCACGTTTGCAAAAAGGCGTTTGCCGTAATTTTGATAACGCTGATCGCGAAAAAATTCACTCATATGCTGCACATTGCGATGAAATTTTTTTCGAATCTGGGATAACGGATATGCTTATTATTTCCACATTTAGTTTTCTCATGACATATTGGATAGACGAGAATAAGAGTTTGATTTTACTGTTTGATTTGCCAAGCATGCGACGATACTGCTAGTTGATTCAATACAAATGCAAAATGTAGAAATTCACGAGGAAAGATAGGAAGATATAACGCAGAGGTTTTGCGATATTATCGAATGTTTTTTGAACAACATTAATTAACGATGTAATAATCATGAAGAATGCATTACGAGAATTGGATGCTTAAAAAAATAATAAACTTACAATTAGTAACCAAATGATAAATCATTGTCTGGTGCAACACGAAGTGACAGATATACTAATTGTAAGTATTTTATTTTTTAATAAACTTATTATTTTTACATAATGAATTTGGTTGTTGCTGCACCGTTTCGAAAGTTTCAAAACGTCATTGATTATAGATCGCTGTCATGTAACTAACTAAATTTATTATATAAAAATAGATAGTTTTATTAAAAAATAAAATATTTATTTTCAAAATATATGAACAATAATATTCAGAAAATCCGATAAACAGCTGATTAATTAACATAAATTATTTGGTACATTATTATTACGTCGCGATGACATGCGAGATATGTAGGTATTATTTTTTTTGCGACATTGCGGTCAAATCAAAACAGTACGTTTCTTTCACATATTGTGCAGGCAGGGAATATATTTATAGATGATTACATATAGGCTTTATCAATAATATTAACGACATTGACGTTAAAATATAAAACAAAAATGTTAACAACAAAATAAAAATATTTTTGCACATAAATTATATTTATATGCTATATACTTTATACTTTCTATATTTATGTATTCAATGTATTGTAATTGCAAAATTATTACATATATCTATATATATTTTTTACATCTAAAAGCCTGTAAAATCAAACTTCTAAATTTCAAGCTTAATTAACATACCAGAATATTCATCCATAAGTCTTTTTAAAATATTTAAGTTTTAAATGACTTTATGCCGTATATAAAACGCGACGTCCATCCCCATGCAATTAACTTCTCTCTGGCAGTCTGTGATCGTTGACATAACTTCGATATAAAAGCAACTTATTTCAATATTATAGATAATAATGTCGATGTGTATTATTTTCCTACATTACTACTTACATTACCTACCTACCTAGGTTACTATTCTACTACAAAGACGAGAAATGCACTTTCGAATGCACAATTTTTCGACAATGAAGCCCCAGTAGTCTCGAAAAGTAGCACGGACACGCACTACAAATCGTATACGCGCGGTGCAGAAAAGCGATTTACTTATCAATGTAGGTAAAATCAAAAATGTCAATGTGCTACCATTTCACACTACTCCATTTTAGCAACTGTCGATCTTATTAAAAGGGAAGACGTGAAGAAGTTTGCCATTACTTTCGTAAGAGGCGCTGATTGTTGATCAGCTGATGCTCCATCAGGACTTTGTTTCAGGTTCAGGCATTTTCAAAATAATATTGGAAGAGAGTAAGAATGACGTTGTCCTACAGTTACATGCCGGATTATTTTTCTCTGACGGATATTTTGTGTACGGAGGAACGAATATCGTGCAAAGTAGAAGTCACGCTACCTCGCTTGGGTAAGCTTGTCGAGATTTTTATCACAGCTTTTCTCTCTGTTAAAACACTGAGATTTATTTGTCGATCCTAAATATAAAATTATAATAAAAACGAGAGAATTTGTATTTCTTTTATTCACAGAAGGAGCATTCCTTCATAATACAATTACTAATTAAGCTTTTAGCTTGTAATTAGAATAAAAGTTGCAAAAAAATTTACAAATTAACTTCTTGAAATGAGATATTTTATTCCTCACGCTATATTTGTTTTCCATAGAAAATAGGATCGTTTTATAAAATAGGATCGTATTGTGTACACAGGTTTTCTAGATCTTTCCTCTGAATCAGAGGATCTAAAACCAGGTACGAGGCTGGAACTTCCACTATGGTTGGCGCAACCGCTGAACAAGGTGAAAGAATCAATAGTCAGTGTGGACATACCGAAAACGTATAAGGAGGGCTACAGGTGCGTACGTGTATAGTAGAATTAATTTCTGTTAAGGTGAATCTTCTAAAACAGCTCGTTTCTCATACGTGTTGCAGGGAAATTTTATTAGCAGACGCTTGTACCGTTGTATTGAATAAATGGAATCCCTATTATTACGAACTGGGAATGTGTTTGAGGAAGTTCAACAACCGCGATTGCGAGATAATAATTGACAGTTTGCTCTTAGTAAGTGTGGTAATTGTGTCTTTGAGCTGTATTCGTTTAATTGATACGTATACATTATTTAATGTCTCCTGCCTTTCAGACTTTCAGATCGCGATTCAGACTAGTCATGGACTGGGCACAAAATCCTATTTCCGATCCTATGCTCAACAGCTTACTGCCGAGATTGGAGAGAGATTTGTTCCTTACTGGCAGGAAGGCCAAGCTGCAACTGAATGAATGGCTGAGAAAAGGTTCGTGCGTTATCGAAACTTCGCAGAGCGCCGTGAATCTTAAGAAGCGAAAACGAATGGATTACGAACTGGATTAGAACGTGCACTGCATACGATATATGTGATAAAACAGGTATTGAGTACACCGCAATTGTATACTTATGCAATATAATTTTTTATACGAATGATTAATAAAATAAACGCGTGATATAAGTGTAATATTAAATAAAATTTATTGTCTTATACATTGAACTACATATCCCTTTATTTAAAGATACAAATATATGTATCTATGTATATATACTTATTACTTATTAAATAACAAGTAAAAATTTTATTTATATATATACATACATGTCTTCATATGGAATCAGTCACATTCGAACTGCCAACAATATATAAAGAATCATACAACAAAATGTGATAATATCTATTTCACAACCCATGACTAAAAATTGTTAAAATGTCTTAGATATATGCATTAAAACAACTAATATATTACACTTTCCAGTGGAATATCGTTTTTATTAACAATGATAAATCGCGCGCGTTTCTTTTCTCGTTACTAATTTATGCCTTACATTACAAACGTTAATGTTTACTATACTCTTCGTACAAAAATATAAAATATATATTTTCCAAACTAATTGCGATAATCTACGACTTATATATTAAAACGTGTGTGTTTTTTTTTTATATAGTACTATGTGTTGTGAAACTTTGTTATAGATATTTACGTGTACATACATATCTGACACTGGATACATGCCATGTGAAAAACCGTACAGAATACAGTACAAAATATGAATACACAATGGCATATTCGTAAGGTTATTGCAATAACCAAAAGTTAAGTCGAATTAAGTTATAGTCGAATTTAAGAAAAAAAAATAGAAAAAAGCAAAGAAAACAGTTGCAAATAAAATTATTTGCAGATTTTTTTATCGTCTAACGATTCTAACGCACGTAGGTTGCGTAATTTTTTTTTAGCTCAAGGCCTACTATTATCAGACCTGCCGAATGCTTTTGAAATGGTAGCGATTCGCTGGCCCGTCTCGAGTCATATTTGCACGAAATTATTCTCATGATTCATAACTGTTCTCGAATATTCATAACTGTAACTCAAATCCCCATGCAATCGATGCATGTTTATACAATCGACGTGTATTTGTATTACATCATATTATTATAATTCGTATCTATTCATTATACTTCTCTCTCTCTCTCTACACTTTATTATCTAATTATTATGCTATTGCTTTCTATCCGGCCATAAATGTCAACGTTGACATTTCGCTAAAGACTAACACCGCGATAAGATGCACTAGCCATTTTTTTTTTTTTTCGTTTTGATTAGGCACAGCTCGACATTCGCACGCGCAAAATGGCCAACGCTTGTGCACTCCTCATCACTACTGCTAACGGTAAATTGCATTGCAATGGCGCACTTTTCATTTTGCAGGGAACCCGCACTCGATGATCACGTTAGCGCGTGCGTCCCATCAGCTATATATTTTAAGACTATCTATAACGCTTATGTCGATACGGCTACACTTGGAATGTTACATATATACGTGTTGCTGCATCATGCTATTTACATTACATCACGAATAATAACGCTATTCATTCAGATTTGGACTGAGCAGAATAGTAGAAAAAAAAAATAGATATATTTCTCGTTACATCAACGCTCGATGTTTCCTATTGTTTCCGTCCACTTAACTCGATTTACAGACATACCTCTGTATGTACAAAAATATAACGGATACGACCTTACTTTCTATTCTCTAAATCAGGGCTCGAAACCGATATTATTTCGCTGAACTCGAGTTCCTATGTCAGTAAGGCATAGAAAATCCGAGCCTTACTAATGTTAGTCGCACACAATTGAAGTAGTGCTACAATCATTACGATAAGGCTAGGAGTCCTTCCTTTTTGCATACCAACGGAATCCACCGCGACGGAATCGGTTTCACTCCCTGCTCCAAGTTTATCGATAATAATAATTATTATTATTAATTGCACGGTTATACTGCCACGCGTATTATTCTCGAGCTCTGGCCCGGATTTTGGAAATGGCCCGAATACTTGTCGCGACAGTGGTAATAGCAAGTAAAATAGTGGCAATTAGGCACGATCTTGTCGCTTATCACATCATTCGTCTTGATCGGCATAATTAATCGTTATCTGTACAGGTGCGCGGGCCTTGGCTAATTCGTGAGCTGCAATTAGGAAACGTGACCACAGCATACCGCACCGTTAAATTACAGTGTCGATATTTCTCTTCCTCTCGCCCTCCACGATCAACATCAACAATCACATTTGATTCGACTAACGGAATACGCGCTGTTTTGCTAATTGAGCAATTCAATTTCTTTTTTTTTTTTTTTTTTTGAGCAGAACATTGGCTATTCAGCGGTGAGCTCAGTTCCCGAAGCTAGTCAGAAGCTGGTCTCGGGCTCGAGGCTGGGCTCCTGCTTGAAATATCGGAAATCCTGATTCGGAGGCGTGAGATCCCTCAGGATCATGACGGGCATTTGATCGGCTTGTGGACTCAGGTTGCCGGTGTTCGCCGGCGTCAGGGGGCTGCTGGGGCTCTCGTTGTTGCTCATGTAACTGCCCGGCGTGGTGTTCGTAATCTGCAGGGGGGTGGCGGTGCCGTTCATCTCCGACGTGGTGCCGCCCAGGAATATCTCCTGAAGCAGATTGTCGATGTGCGCCACCCCGAATAGCCTGACGAATTGAATCTGCTCGACCATCTGCCACGAGATCGACTGCAGAGCCGGTAACATCAGCAGGATGTCGCCGAAGTGACCGGGCAGATCGCAGCGGTGATCGCTGATGTGATTCTCGAGCTTTATCTGGATATTGTGGCGCAGCTCCCGGACCGTCTTCTGATCGCTCAGTCCTTTCGCGTCTGCAAAGAACGGGGAATATGTAGAGGGAAAAGAAGCGTGATTGTCCCCGATCGCGGGGATCTCGGTCACCCAAGGGTCGCTCTATCGCCGACGATGATCATTCTCGATTCTGTATCGCGTTAATTGTAAATTAATCGAGGGATGAAGATGCAACGACTAATATTAAATTAAATCGACTTATTAAATCGGCTTATTAAATCTCGACGCATCAACGCGAATTGGGAGACGCGCGATTTTTTTTTTCTTTCTCGCCTCTCTGCCTCGCCGATATCTATAAATAAGCGATGATTTGCGTTGTTTATGAAAGCCTGGCGAAACCGCGAGGCGTGATTGCCTCAACGAGACCGAATTGATCGCAAGAGCGTAGAGATTATTGCGAGCGAATTGTATTCGATCTATGTATATTAACGGCACGCATTTATTGTCTATATCGTCGCGCGGCAACGTTTTTCTATTCCGTTCGATTCTGCACGCGTACGCGTAATACCGCGCGTCGCGAATCATCGGATTGTCGCGTGGCGTTATTCTTCGAGTTTATATAAACGAGACACTCACTCGGGTCAAAGAACACGATGGCTTTGAGAAAAGCGAACTCCGTGTCGTCGATCTTGATCTTCTGAAACGGCTTCACCAGCTCGTCCATCACCCTGATGCCCACCTTGCTGATGTCCAGATCCTGCTGGTTGCTTCCCTCTATAAATTGCAACGATATTACTGATAGACGCGATTACGTCGTTGTTCCTTCGTTCGTTTCATAGAAACTGAGTCCGGTGGAACAAGTAAAGAAAAAGAGGATATCTGCGTCTCGCAGATATTACCAAGTCGGTGCAAAAGATTTGTTCTCTTCATTAAATTTCATAACAAATAAGGGGCTCTTCCTTGAGGAGAAAATTGAAAAATTCTTTCTTAGATGAAAAAAAGAGGAGTTCCAACTTCGACTAGATACTCGTTTTTAATTAATTTAATAAATATGTCAGATAAATGTGAAAAGTAAATAAGGATCTCTTCTGCACCAACTTAATAGATGGGCAAACCAAACATCAATTGTTCATGCACTGACATGCATTTTAAAGTGGCACACAACACACGAATTCCGGACTCAGTCAACCACCTAAGCCCCGTAATTGTGCAACGAAAACAGACATTCAGTTCATAAAACAATAGATTGCCAGCGCGTTGCGATTCGTTATATTATATTATAAAGCAAGTACAAATTTCCTCGACATACATTTCCACAAATCACGACTGCAAATGTAGCCGAGAAAATTATATTTATTTCAATAACATTTTATCTAAATCAACAAAATCATTCTTATCCAATTACTTAAATCGTATATTCAAATTATCCGGATAATCTAAATTTTGATAACACCAATCAAATCGAATTCGCAAGTTTATAAAAGATTCAAATTACAAGAAATTGTCAAGGAACTATTTTCATAAAACGATTCGTCAAACTTTATTGAAATTATATATACAGGTTGTCCTGAAATTCGTGAATCAAAATATCATAGCAAGAAAGTCTTCGAAAATTAAGTAAAAAAGTTATTTATAAATTTTTAATTTAAGCAGTAGTTTTTGAGATGTAAGAGTTTAAATTTAGCCAATTATAGATTAATACTCGCGTTCACGGACATGTTTCCGTCTAATCGTAATCTATAATTGGCTAAATTTAAACTCTTATATTTCAAAAACTACTGCTTAAATTAAAAATTTATAAATAACTTTTTTACTTAATTTTTCGAAGACTTTCTTGCTATGATATTTTGATTCGCAAATTTCGGGACACCCTGTATTTATTACAAAAAACTTTAGTGATATAATAAGTACTGATGACTAATATACTGAAAATCTATGATTAAAGAAGAAATTTAACTTAATTAAGCATTGTTCATTGATTTTGAAAAAAATATCCATTGGTTTATATTGACGACAAAATATCACTTATCTGTGCATATTTATCGAAATTAGGAAGATTTCGAACTCGCTTCGCGCGTGACCCTCAACACCAAGCCTCCTTTCATTAAATAAAGTTAATCACAAAGAGAGATAACATTCCGCACGAAAATGTTTTACATTGTAAAATACGATTAGCTCGCGACAAAGTAGATGACGTAACATGGCATTCCTTTTATCGGTCGCATAATGCGTCGACTAATGCACTTGTCCTCGTATGGCTAGCAATAAAATGGTAGATTCCGAAAAAAAAGCAAAAAAACAATATTGCATTAGGAAAATCATCCGTCTGTTTCGCAAAATTACTCCGACTTGCAGAAACTGATACATTGTGATAATTAGGATTGACAATCAAACGTCTGCGTCTTGCAAGAAAATTGCAGGTATTCGAGTAAAATTAATACACAGTAGTCAATACATTTTCGTGCTTTTTATTCAGTAACAAAAACGCGTGAGACAACTAAGTATATAGAATTACGTGAATATTTATAGCACACTAATACGTAAAAACGTATAAAACTTGCACTAACATGACAACATAAACAAACGGTGATATAATCTCGTGACAAAATCTCGAACGTATTTGCTACATTTCGGGAAAGAAATAAAGGAAAACGAAAGATATAGAGAAATCCGATATGCAAGAGGTATTTTTGTGTCTCGCGACTCACCATATAGATCCGATATGCGAGGAAAGACCTACGTGTTTACCGATAAAATATTAAGATATTATGAAATCCATTTGCACACATGCGCGTCTTACGTATACATCAGGAAGAAAAATTACTTATATAGACGAGCGAAAGCAACCGCTGGCTCTCCGGTAGTTCGCGAGACTTCTCTTCCTTCTCTCCGTCGGATCGTCAGTTAAAATTGATATGCGGTTACGGTTTTATTACGGGATTTATGATGAAACGGGATATAACGTTTTGGAGGGAGCGTCGCGCGCTCGCGCGGCCGCATGGCATGAAACACAAATCGCGGCGTCCGCGACACGATGCGGACGGTGAAATTACGTAAGCAAAAAGGTGAAGGTCGCCGTCGAATCGGCTATTTAGAAGAAGGGGCTCTCTTTCAGGCGGCTCTCGCGGGGAAAAAAAACGCTGACACAGTCCGCGCGAAAAGGACGCGTTGCTTTAATATTGACGGCTTTTGTCGACGGCAGTCAAGATATCTTCGCTCGCTTAAGATAAGAAACCACATATTCATGCTATTCGCAACGTTTCCCGAAACGTTCTATGCAGCGCATGCGGGAAACGCGCGCTGCTTGTATACTTTTATGCCGAAAAGATCAGTCGATCCTTTCGAGCCTTGCTTATTAAAAGAGGGAAAAAAAGGCGAATCCTTCGTTTCTCCTGTATAAGCTTCGTAGATTTCTTCGAAGCCTTCGGATCTATTAAAGTTTTGAAATGCGAAGATTCGAAAACACGGCTCGCGCGCTCGCTCGCGAGAAAAAAAAAAATACGAAGAGCGAGCCTTTAAAATAGTAATTTATTTTGCTCATATTAAGAGGCTCCTTATACACACTGCAACCACTTTGAATTATGATGTCAGAAGCAAGGAATCACGTGGATCTCTTCCTGCGCTACACGTTGGAATAAATAAAATTTTCTGCATGTCATTATCATGCGCCATGCGCCTTCGATAATACGAATTGATAAAATATACCGATTCTTTTTCCGGTTCGTGAATCAATAACTAACCGTATCTAAATCTTAATCAGTCATTGTAGAATTTTTGTGGGAAATAAGTAGACGTGCAAACTGAATTATACATTTAAATAGTAGCATACATTTAAATAATAATTAAATAGTAAAAAATTATCGATATATTTTATCGAAAAAAAAAACTAATTTATTTCAACTTAATATCATTTCTGACTGCAACGAAGAAACAAAAATCTTAAAGATGAAGAAGTGCCTTTCAGTATAGACTTTTTCTTGTATAAGAGCGTTCGCTAGGTTCTATACATTATTTCTTGCAAACGTTTCGTATTTATACTAATTACTGTATTTTGCGTATGCATAAATAGATGCCCGAGACGCGGCTGGATGAATCGTTTGCGCAACGCGCGCCAGGAGAAAACTGGTCAGAATTTGCCTAATATTCACCTCGCATATTTCATCTTCGTCCAAAAAGGAGCGTTATCTCAGAGAATTAACTCTCAAGCACAGTCTCCTCTTTCTCCCCCTCTCCCTCCCCCCCCTCCCTCCGCCTCTCCCGTCCATACCCATGTACCCTCGTTACATTTAATATCATTATTCAGCGAAACCGAAACGCAGCATACAAAGTGTTAGGAGAAGCGTGAACGGAGCGCAGATCGGTGTCGGGCATACTTACAAACTTTAGGCTTTCTCCACGAGAAAAAAAAAAGAGAGAAAATAAACGGTACAAGAATTTTCAGTTAAAAATAAAAAGAACAGGACTTGATAAACGCGTCTTCAAGAACAATCCGAGTCTGAGACGAAGAGACAGACGTCAAAAAATGCCGAGAAACCGCGTTCGACGAGCCGCCCGGGCTGTCCTTTCGAAAACGCGAGATATTTCTCAGGCATACACGCGTCGAAATTTTCTATATGCTCGGCACCGCTCTCGCTCCGCTCGCACGAGGAAAAACTTTAGGAGCTACAGAAACCGTGCAACCCGTTAAAAGCTACGAACTCTACGTACCAGGACAATTTCTCATGATGATGCAATCGTTGCCGAGCAGCAGCACGTCCGTGAAGTTCCGACTACGTCTGGCCACCCCGAGCAACAGGTGCTCGCCCGCGTGGGCCCTCAGCAACGCGACCTGATCGTCCAGCGACAGCGCTTTGAACTCGTCGAAGCACTTGGCCCACTCGATCAGGATCAACAGTTGCTCCTTCATGCTGTCGCACACGTCATTCAGCCCAGCTATCCGCTTCGAGCTGAGATCAATTTCGCCGTTCGGACTGTCTGGCTGCGGTAGCTACACGAATCATCAGAACATCGTGATCGTTAAAGGGAGCAAAGGGCTAAGATATGTATTTCTAAGCAAAGAAGATTACTGTTTGTACAATTCAAATAATTCACGCAGAAATATTATTGAAATGATATTAAAATATATCGGATTTTTCGTCTTATCCTCCAGGCATAAATCGATTCAATAAAGCAAAATTAAAGAGAAAAAAGATAAAATATTGCGCATTTATATTGCAAACGCAAATACAAAGATTTGAAATTAGTTAAATAGTATTATAAAAATAGAAATGTTGCTCTTTTCCCCTTTCTTTCCGAATCTACTAGTAATCTAATAAATTATAATAAATTTAAATAGCCAATCTTTAAGCACAAAGTCCAATCTTAAATCGGGAATTTAAATCGTTAATTTAAAACGTTAAAGAATGTTTAAAAAATTAAATTTTTTTGCAATCGTCCAAATATAAATTTACGTTGCAACTTTATTTCACGATTGTTTCATTTTTAGTACAAGAAATGGAATTTGATCGTTGTCGAATTTAAGAAGAGATTGATATAAGTTTTGTAACGCTCATGCTTAGCGAACGATGATAAAGAATTGCTAAGCACACAGTATTGACGGAAGTAAACGACGGCGATTAAGCCATGCGCCGAATTTTCATTTGCGTTTGTTAACGAACGGCGAACCGTGATTTATAAATATTCGATTCGGCTAGGGGTCAAGCCCTCTACTCACCTCTAACCCGCCAACTTGCTTGCTGAGCATTTCGGCGCGTGCATCCGCCTTCACCACGTCCTCCTTCGACGGGCCCTTGTTCTTATCAGGCGGATCCTCGTTGCTCGGTCGCCGACAACTTATCCGATCCCTCTCGTTTTGCACGGCTGTGAAAATTATCATAGGAATTTTTAACATAAGCTCCCTACTCTTCAGGTAGAAGAGTAACGGAAGACATATCTGTAAAAATGAATTCCACGTAAGAAAAAGTATTCGAAATTAAGAAACGAGTGCTTCACATCACTATGTGTGACATGCAATTAAATATATATTATATATCTAATTGCTACATTACAATTAGATATATTATATCGAATATATTTAATTAAAAATATTATATATAATCTTTAAAAATATTATATATAATATTATATATAATATTTTTAAATTTCTTTGGAGGAAACTCTCGAAGTTGGCGGAAGTTGTAAGGATCTTGCAGGCGTGTCTTTCGAGAGGAAAATTTCACAGTGCGCGACGAACGACTTCGCAAAAAAAAAAAAAAAAGAGAAACTCACCCTCCTTCTTCATGCCGGCTCTGAAGCACTTCCGCAGTCGGCAATACCTGCACTGATTTCGCTTGTCCCTGTCAATCGGACACTTCCTTTGAAATCTGTAAAAAAAAAAAGAGAAAAGAGGGGTGATTTTCCCTTGAAGAAATAGCTTCGCTACATCATGACTCACTTTCCGCTAAAACGCGCGTCGGATTGGCGCTAAAATATCACGATACAAACGTACCTGCACGTGTACTGATGATTCTTTCTGACGGATCGGCGGAAGAAGCCTTTGCAGCCATCGCAAGACGCGGCGCCGTAGTGCTTCCCCGTGGCGCGATCGCTGCATATGGCGCATGTTTGTGAGAGGGCGGCGTTGACTCCTGGACCAGGGAGAGTCAGGACGGGTCCACCCGCTGCACCTGCGCCCATGCCCAGATCTGCGTCTGCAACACGAAACAGACAAATACTTTCTTCAATCGGCCCTTCTTGACGTTAGTACACGCTGAGTGATTTTTTCATTTTTTTTTTTTTTTAGAAATGAGGAAGGAGCAATTGTAATGTTAGCGATGAATCAGATCCTACTTTAAAAAGTTAAAATATTTTAGTTGCGTGTAAAAATTTGGATTGTTTCAAACTAAAAGTTCTTGAAAAACCTTGAAGATTGCAAATGCTAATGCCTTTTAAAGCCTTGAATGTAAGACAAGTTTTTTTTTTAGAACTCCACGAATATTTACGTTAAAACATTTACAATTCTTAAATTTGTTACCAATGTCTATATATAAAACGGCTTGATGTAATAATATAAAGCGTTGGAGACAGAAATATATATTTCAAAAACGCATTTATCTTTCGAAATGATCAGGAGTTCCAAGATTTTCAATATAATTGTTCAGTTTCAAATAGTATAATTCAAGATTTTTGTCGTATATACAAAATATATTCAATGTTTGTTATCATTATTAATTTAATTAAAATTAATGTATAATATCATTATTAATTTAAATAAAATTAGCGTATACAGATCGAAAACGTCCTCGTAAATATTGGTATCGGATATCAAAAAAATAAAGTTACAAATATAGGAAAACGTCTCATAATAAATTTAAAAATAATAATAAATAAATAATCTCATAATAAATTGAAATAATAAATTTTATGTAAAAATTATATAACAAAAGATAAGATATATCTTTTTAAAAATGAATATAGCACAATAAAAGCATTGAATATCAACGTAATGTAGATCGAATGGTGTAAAAATTTATAGAAATTGATGCCTTCTTTTATACGTAATGTGCACAAGAGTTCGAAAATTAAGGAAAAACATGAAGATATTGAAATTAAATAAATCAAATAAATCATTTTTAAACTGAGGAATTATACTTACAAATTAAATATTAAGTTATACCTTCCGCCAATGACATTGTGCCATATTTAATGAATTGTTGCGGCATGAATAAATCTTAGATTTTAATAACATGGATATACTGCCGCCAATACTGGGTCAGTAGGGGTTAATTATGCAAATCGCCGCGAACCTTGAGGAAATGCACATGACGGTAAAATAATGAGTAATAAATTGCCTAGCGAATAATGAATTGATTTGAAGCTAGGATCGATTCGCATAACACGTATCTAAGAATGAGGCATTCGAGAGTCCTTCGTTTGATGGTTTCCAAATACTACGTTCACATAAAAATTCAAACTGCTTCAAACTAAAAACTCAAAATTCTTGAAAGTTTTTGAAACTCAAAAAATATCTATTTGTGATATATTATTCATTATCATTTAAAATATTGAAATTCTTAAAAGATAAAATTAGTACAACATTATCTCTATAACATCGTTGTTTGTACATATAAAGTGGATTAAAATAACTATATAAAAATTATATGATAAAAAAGAAAAAATATATTTTTTAAACTAAATATATAGCACGATAAAAACATATATAGTAGCAATATAATAAGTAGTAGTAGTGTAATATGGACCGAGCAATGCAAAAATTTAAAAATTTTCCATGCACCGTCTACTTTTATTATTAAGAATGTAAAAATACGTAATATTATAATAATAATTACTTATATTCATTATTAATTACTGTATTTATTATTTAAAGATCAATCTAATAGATAAATCTTGATGATGCAAAATGATGAGAAATAATATTGTGATGATGAAAGATAACATAATAATAAAACTTTAAGTATGTCAGTCGTGATGAAATATTGAAAATTTACAAAAGCTGACCGCTGAGTATGCGTGAAAGGAAATTATTTTCGTAAACGGCCACGCTCTTGAAATCATTTTTTGACCGTTTTAATTATTACTAGGTCAGTGCATGTGAAGTGCATTTCAAAAGTTATATGAAGCGTTCTTATAAAAAAAATATCAACCGATGCAATCAATTATTATATATATTATATATTATATAACATATAATATTATGAAAGTATTTTTCCGGAAATTTTCATCTCGATAATTATATAGTCAAATCTTTTTAATTTTTAATCATTTCCCGCATTTAAAAATTTGTATATTTGATATCTCATGAAATTTTAATTTCCTGTTTCTATACTAAACATTTCGCAAACCACCATTAATTCGAATAAGATGTAAATCCATATTGCTAAACGTGAATTCTTACAATTTTCAGAGTACCGTTATAAATGTAACATCGACATATCGTGCGAACAGCTCAATACTTCACCGCGTGAACGTTTTAATTCTTACTTTTAATTAACTCTCGTGCGTGCCTTCAAGAAATACCACGGAGATACAGATATCGCGCGAAAGACGTAGATCCGAGGCCTTGGAATAATTTATAACGTGCGGTATAATAGAGTTAATTGATAGGTGATTTTTTTGCACCGTAACTCTTTCTTCCTATACTGTAAAACTTTAGCCGCGCGACTTCCTCTTCTTTATTTCTCAATTCGCAAAGTATACAGGCCAATTATTTATAGCTGTGAGAAATATTTGTATAATACCAAACGAAAGGAGATCCCCAACGCGAGATCGGCTAGATTAAAAATCCGCGATACCGCCCCTCCCTCTCTGCCCTTTAATGACTTTATTACCGAGATATCATTACCGGCGTATCATCGTCGTAAATGAGTAGGTTATACTATTTAGTTATTTTCCGCACAGAAAAAAACGCACCGAATAGCTCTAATAATCTGTATGACTTTACGCTTTCCTTCAGCTAATTATATAATTATCTAAATTATCTGTATATTTTGAATATAAAAACTACATGTGATAGATGTGCAATAAACAGACGATCGCTTTTAATTTCAAACATTATGCGTAACTAAGGCTGATCATGTCACTGATAATGTCAAACAATTAAGAAAACTTTATTACGGCTCCACTTCTGTTTGAGCGAAAATCTCATCATTTATCGTCGTCGCAATATGCGGCAGCTATAGGCAATTCTTGATCTTATCTCGGATCTCTAATCTTGGAAGGGGCAAAAAACAACCGGAAGTTAAATAAGTTTAATTCGATTTTTTGCTATCACAAAATTATGCTTATCGTATCCGTGATTCTGAAAAAGCGTCAGAGACGTCTTATTGAAACTAAATAGTGGCTACATAAGAAAATGACGCGGCAGAAACGGCACGCGTGTTTTCGAATTAGACTATGAAAAAGTACATTTTCTGCAAATATAAATTAAAGAAATATATTAATCCCTGACATTGGCGATATGATAGCACGGATAGTTGTATCAATGAAATCTATGGAATTCATAAAAGAAAGAGAAACTAATTTAATTTTATTGATATTTCTTTCTATTTATAATAGAGCATTGTATTTCAATTTTCAATATTTATTAAATTTTTTCTTCTTTCTTTTATTCCTTAGACTTAATACAATTAAAATTATTTTTATCCGATGTTTCTGATTGGATTTTGACTCGGGTCTTCGGCATCGAAAGCAGATACACAACTCTCTGTGCCACAATCGCCTGTTCATCATCATATCTACATCATATATATTATATGTATATAAATAATGGCGTAGATATATTACATCATAAATGTCGAAAGTTAGATTACTGGCTGGTATCAAAATTTTTTCACTCATTCATGTGTCTACTGAAATGGCCTCCGAGTTGAAATGAGCTTCGAGTTCGCAAAGAATAGCACATCTTGGCTGGCTCATTACACATTCCTCGATCTTGCAGGGCGCGGTCACCGTGTCGCGCGACAGATTTCCTTCGCTCGTGATTCCAGCCCGCGCGATCTCTGCGCGCGCGGTAGAAAAACGTAGCAGAGCTTTCGAAATCGCTTGCGCAACGGATATTTATCGGCTTATTAAACGCGTTTCCACAGCCTCGCGAGGGAAGGCAGGAAAACGCAGCGTTACGTAGGCAATCAGGGGGCAATTACAGTTCGCGGCGAATGATCGTTCGGATAGAAGGGGTAATTTGGGAAAAAAACACTAACGTACAATACGGCACGTGTCGCACGAATTATGGACGCATATATAATGGATTTATGTGTTATATTTTTTTTTTCTAAACGTAATGACTCACATTTACGTCGGATATTTAACGCTAAACATGACTGCACAATTCCTTTCTAATAAAATACATTACGCTAGTGTTTAGTGCGATCGAGAGAGCTTAGAGAGGTGAACTTTACTAGTTTATTCTATTAAATGAAAAAATTACCAAATATGTATTATAAATATATTTATAAATATATTTAAATATATTTAAATATATTTAAATAATTCAAAAAAAAGGACAAACTTTGTTTCGAATAAACTTGACAAGTGGCGAAACGTCAACTTTAGAAATAAAAGAATAATTCACGATGTCATCCGATGTCTTGCTAAGAACTCTGTTCATACATTCAAGAAAACAAATTTCAGTATTTTACGCTTACACAAATGTAAATCAACCAAGAAGATTTATTTAAGGTATAAAAAAATCCAGTACAGCGTGAATATCATAAATTAACGTAGTTTACAGAGTAAATTGTGTAAACTGTAAAGATCGTAAAGAAGTCTAGACGAAAAGATAGCATGAAATGGAACTTTTCGAATAAAATATCAATCGTTTTTTTCTCTTTTTTTATCAATTTATTTTTCATCTGGAATATCTGCCACAAATTCAATTTTACAAGTTCAGTTTTACTTTTCAATGAAATCTCCATCACTCGAGATCGCCGAATAAATTTAGCAAATGATTCAATTGGACTCAACGAAGCTCCGCAGGAGCGAAGGAATTCCAGATTGCTGTATTACATAATTCCAATTCTCGTTCATATTCAACGGCAACCCCACTCGAGATGTGGTCAGCGGTATTCACGCTCGCTCAGCATTGCACGATGGTGTTTCCCGAAACGAGTCAGGGATAATTGTGCGTCTATCGCTTCTGCGACCTTGACATTAGGGAAACAAGGGTAGTATTATCGGATACTCGACTAGCCAG